GCGCAGACGACATGTGAAACAACCTAGACTCGTTAATAAGACGATTCGACTAGATAGAAACTGGATAAAGACGATTGCCAATGGAGTAACCAACCAGATCGAGAGCGCTTGTGCAGCTTGGGGGTCTTCTCCGATGTCCCTACGGACACTTCTTCACCGGGCGAGGGCGATTGGGTGGAATCGACCCTCTTGACGGCGTTCGAGGCCGAGGACTTCTTCCTTGACGCAACAGGCATTATGCTAGCAGAGTTGTAGAAACTCGTCTCTATCGGTATCGATTCAAGTCGTCTGATGCGGGTGAAAAACGACGGGAATGACAGGACACAGGTCGCCTGGAGCTGTTGCTTGTCACACCGAGTATTAAGTCGCAAAGCTGAACCAGCAGCCTTTGCTATATCTATATTAGAGATAAGAAAAGAAAGGCGCGGCTATGCAAAGGACAAGGCGATGGTATAACTCTGACAAGGTAATAAGTAAACATCGGCGGTGACTGTGGGATTGATGAACCTTTAAAAGCAAGGTTCACACCCGACAGGCACGCCATGTTGTTTCTATTTTGGAACCAGATAGCCGAGAGAGAGGACGGACTTGCAGTGGTGAACGCCTCGAGCGGGGGATGGCAGGGGAGATCATCTCAGGCGTAGTACACTAGCAGGGGGGATAAGCAAAACTAGCGGCAGCATTCCCTGCGCTGCTAGTAAAGAGTTGGTCTGCGAAGTTAGCCAGAGCTAATTTTGGATAATTGTGATCATTCTGGACATTTGCTGCGTCCAAATTGGCGCCCATGAACTGGATGATGCGGAGATGATTCGACTCTCCGTCCATGGCTGGGAAATTGATTGGATTTAGACTCATCTCGAGGTCTGTGCCCAACAGATCCATGCTGATATTGAGGGAAATTGGTGCAACCATTATGCATGTTAATATGCTAGTTTGTCTTGATTCTTTGTTCATGATACAATATCATTTTTTGGGTGAGAGATAACTTCGTATAGCCGAAGGATGGCAGAGTCAAAGCAGGCCGTATGTCGACAATCCACTGTAGGCTCCTCCTGGTTGATACCAGCAAACGGTAAATACTTCGCTAGCTATGAGCCAGCAAAAAGCAGAGTTATCGTCCTGTAGAAAAGGTATGGCAAATTGCTCGTGACCTTGCCGATAATAAACCTCTATAACCAATGAAAGTCATAGCTCATCTCTTCTCAAGAATGGGAATTAGCTCTAATTTTCAGTTGCTTACCGGTTTTGGAAAGTGTATAACGGATCATGGCCATTCATCATCGCGGCGTAGCATGAAAAAGGGGACCAACCCATATTGAGTGCAATCATAGCCTCCAGTGACTTCTTCCTGAATCCTGAGTACCTCCAGAGACCAGAGTGCAGAGGGGAAGGCAGAGAGAGTTGGCAGAGCCAGCAGTTCAAATTGACAAGCACCAATGGATGTCTCTTGGGCAAGAAGCCTAGGGCACTAACAATGCACCATGAGACCAGGATGATTGCCCAGCCCCACCAATCAAATACTCGAACCGTGCGGACGAAATCAACAGAAAGTCGGAAACACAGAATGACCAGAAAGGCTTTGCGGGGCTAACCTTAGCGGGATGAGCCAAGCTTCCCTGTACAACAGGTGATTGGCTGGACGCCTTTATACTGGTGGACGCCATCGAGGGTTCAGCAGGATCGTGTTGTGCAGAGCGGGAAACCCGCAGCCAACCGTGCTGGGTGGATCGGGTCAGTGCTACACCAACAGAGTTTGGCCAAGATGATTAATTTGTGATGGATCAGATGGTCGATAAGTTGGCTGCTCGGATTTGACTACAATATGCATCTAAAGTTGCCGTAATTAGTAACATTTAGCCGCCAAGTAGAAAGCCAAATGCCTGTTAATCCGTCAGCCATTTGGTAATTTGTCCCAGATCAAGCTATCTTCCCCAAGATTACTATTAATAATCTTGTGCTCTGATCCTTGTTAATCACGGTAATTAGCCGGAATTTCCTACACCTCTTGATTCTAGTTGGTGATGATAGTTGGCTAATCCCTGTGTCTCTCCACTGTGTGTCTCCAATGCACATCTGTCAGTCAAGGAACTTTAGCTGGGGCTGGTCTGCACACTAGATCTCGAGTCACACCGTCACTCTTCGAATCTTCGGGGTACTCCACAAACAATGCGCTTGTTTGTCAGAGCACGGTATATGTGTACCAACTTCTCTTCCCACTTCAACATCTGCATCGCTTGAATTAGGTACTCTTAGTATTCGGTGTATTCCATTATCTTGCTCTCCTTTTTTCCGCCTCCATGAAGTCAAGTTTACTCAAGATTCGAATATCATCCTTCTCACTGGACACCCGTCGTCACCTGCCCGCAAAGATTCTTATCACATTCCTGCAGCTGCAGATCCAATTGGTGTGATTTAGTGCAATCATTATCGGCGATATTCAGTGTCTAGGCCAATCGTAGATTGGAGTGGCCGATCACAGTCCTGCAGGATTCCCTGTCAGAAGCACATGCCAAGCTGTGACAAAGTGCCTTAGAAAGTTACATCTGGGAAATGCACTACCTACCTATGCCGCTATAACCCGCCGAAAAAGAGACTGCCGTCTTATCTCTGGTATTACGATCATCGCGACTTGCTCCGTCTAACACAAATCAATATGACAGTATCTTGTTCATGAGCATTTGGCGGTCTTTGCAACCAACTGTTAACCCAACGTAGTTGAATCCAACAACGGGTTTACTAATCGAAAGAGGTGACAAAGTGACAATATCGCCTCGATGGAACATCAGCACTAAGCACTCTCGGCTGCTGAGCTTTCGAAGGCTGGGAGTAGACGCTTAGTTACTCTTCCCTGCTCCTTTCCCCGTGTTGAAATCGGAGCCCAGTTCTCTCCTCGATGCAGCTAATTAATCAGACTCCTCGTTATTTATAGCCAAATTATACCTGGAAGAGGAATTTACTGCTCTGACCTTCCTTCTTCCGATTCGGGCATGCACGCTCAAATTGTTCCCCTCATTGTGGGCGAATACCACCTGGTGGTGTACTCAACCGTCCTCAAACCGATTCTTCCAGCTCTAGGTTCAATGTAGAGGATAGAGCCAGAGTGCTCATCTCCTTCACTTGTCTTTCAAACGGTCTACGAAGCACAACGTGTACTCTCCTTGCATTGAAAGTGTTGCAGCAACATCTTGAGATGACTATGTATATACTTTCATATTCTTACTTTCTGAGTGAATCAACCTATTTTGCATCATAATCACCATCACACACTAAAGAACGATCATAGCTTGAAACCTTAAGCGGCATGAACTCACGCTGCGGTTATGACCTTGCATCGATAGTCTGCCATGTGCTCTCAACGTCCTTCGCCATCCACTAGATTCTGACAGGACTCTTCTAGAAATCTGGATCTTCGTCTTTGCCCTCATCGCTAAGCGCCAGATGTAAACTTAGCGCTCCCTCTATGATTTCGTCTTAAGCCAGGAGCAATTCACCTCGAATCCTTAAGCGCCCGCAATATCTGAGAGTTTCAGCCTCGATTTAACCAAAATAGAAGTGAATACTGCTTTTCTTGTCTCAAGAGGCGAGGCTCACACTTGAGTCACTGGCCATACATCTCTATCTTTTGGAGCATGATCTAGCCTGGTGTATGCAATGACGTGGTGTCTAAACATATCTCAAGGCAGACTTGCCTTAGCCTGCTATCATGTATCGGGATGGGGTAGACCAGATAGGTGTCAAGTGCGGCGGTTGTGTACCAATCATCTCAGGCACTCTCTCGACTCAGTCATAGGTTAGGTGTGCCTGGGCTTTTGTATGACGCTCTTTTGTTCTTTTCCAATCTGCATGAAGGTGACACGGGAGAGTTGAACAGAGAGAGCCTCAGGCCCAATCACACGTATTGTCGAAGAGTAAGAGTCTTTGTAGATGCTAGAGGCATTGTCCTGTCCGTGTTTAAGGTTTTGGCGTTCCTGGCCGGTTTATGTTTCCGGATGTTCAAAGTGATCAGAATGCTAGTAAATACATGACTGTCATTGAAACAAATTGATGTGGATCGGGCAAAATATATAATGACGTAAATACCGGCGGGATCTCAGCTGTAGTCGACTGTCAAGAATACAAGAATGCATTGTTTCGAATTTCGCTGTATTTTTTTAGAGAGGTTAATAGTTCTCTGTGTAGGTGATGTAAAACCTTGTTTGATGTAGAAAGCCATTGTTGATACCTTAGCAACATGGCGCGAGATTGGGGCTGTCACATGTAGCAGCAGCATGTTTAAGCTTACCATCATAGCGGCTGCTCTCTCCGCTTCTCGATGATTCCTACTTCCGGCAAACCAGCATTATCTTCCGCCAGACTCCTGCCATCACTCCTCTTATCCGAGTCCAGGATCTGCGATAGCATGTATCTGTGGTCGCCATGTTACGTTCACCGATAGCCCGCGCTATATTCCGCAGCGCTACAGCGCGATCAACAATCCCGTCTTCGTCGCAGTCGGCCGCGCGCATCGCGGCTCCTATCCTCGATTCTTCCTACTTTTCCGGCCAACCATTCCGATACCCACGGTTTCCTTCTGCAACGCTTGGACTCACCTCAAGGGCCTCCACATCTTCCTCGCAGACTTCTTTTCGCTTTCCCAACAGATACTTCTCCTCCTCGGCCAGGCTATCCTACGGATACGGCGGTGGTAGATATCGGCGATTTGATGGCCCCAGTCGCGGAACGCTTTTTCAGCGATTGTTGACAAATGCGAGACCATACCACTTTGTGATAATTGGCGTCGTAATCGGCGGTATCTACACCAGCAATGTCGAGACGGTGGAGGTGAGCTTGCTCTTTTGTCTTCGATAACAAGTCCAATGTGATTTCTGAGGGGTCCTTGGAAAATGGAAATTGAATGGCGCTCAATCGTTTGTTGTCCAGTACTTCATTTCTGACGCCTTCTCTCCCAGATGACCGGCCGCCGACGATTCAACTGTGTCTCCTCTCACCAGGAACTAAAAATGGGCCAACAGAGCTATGAGGAGGTTTTGAGATCAACGCGCGGGAAGATTCTCCCCGAGAATCATCCGCTGACCATCATGGTGAACCGCGTGCTCCGCAGATTGATACCGCAAGCGCCGATTGAAGGCGCAGATTGGAGAGTTCATGTCATCAAGGATGACGGTATGGTCAATGCTTTTGTTTTGCCTGGGTATGCATAACTTTCAAGATCACGGTCTGTTGTCGTATGCTACTGACCCTACACACAGTGGGAAAGTGTTCGTCTACACAGGCATTCTGCCAATTTGTAAAGACGAGGATGGGCTTGCAGCTGTATTGGGCCACGAAATCGCTCACGTCGTCGCGCATCATCCGGCAGAACGCATGAGCAACAACATCCTGACAGTTGGAGCGGTATTCCTTATCTCCATGCTATTTGACATTTCAGGCCAGATTCCTTCGCTACTGCTCAACCTAATGTACAGCTTGCCTAATTCGAGAACACAAGAGGTAAGACTTGCTTCCTTGCCCCGCAGATGACCCCTACGCTGACGACTTTCTAGGCTGAGGCAGACAACATTGGCTTGAGTATGGTCATCAGCCATGAATGATTATGTCTTTGATGCTAATCCGGACTAGTGATGATGTCAAAAGCTTGCTTCAATCCTGAGGCTGCTGTGGGACTGTAAGTCATTATCTCCGGTCACTGCATCTATGGTAGAAATATCGTCGACTTTGAGCTTCAAGGCTCACATATCCTGCCAGTTGGGCGCGCATGCAAAAAGCAGAGCAGGAGGCACCACCCCAATTTCTGTCAACACACCCTTCAGTGAGTATTAATCCGCCCCGAGACTTGCAGTGCCGTGACCTGACTTTTCTACCAGAGCTACAACCGCATGGAAGCAATCCGTGGATGGTAAGACCTCTGACATCACCATCTGCCGAGGTGTACTGACGAGGTTCCAGGCTGGGGAAGGCCGAAGAAATCTATGAAGATAGTGGATGTAGTACCCTGGGCAACTACAGTAAGTGCTCCTAACAAACCAGTCGCTCATCCTGGGGCTTGACTAAACAATAATCTGCAGTGCCGGGATTTCGCCAAGCTTCAAACGACTACTACAGGTGGTGAGCGATGGTTACTGGGATGACCTGGCTTGTATTATAGGATACAATCTTACATATAATTATGAAATCACGACTCATGCAAATCAAATATAATTGCCAGGATAAGTCCTCTCTATGAGTCCGAGTATTATTGTATGTCCCAAAAAGGAAATGCCCTAGCCCCTCCAGATGCAAACCGGCCAAACACCCGCAGCCGCCTGACCGTCTCGAAAGCTCCATCAAAAATTCCCGGAGCAGCACGTAGCTTGTGTGATAGCACTGTCTTGCTTTCTTCTTCCTCTTTCAATTTTCTGTTTGCTTCGAGGGGAAGCTTTCTTCAAAATGTCGTTGTCTATGCCTGGTCCCAGCCAGGCGGGTCTTTTCAAGCCTGGATACCAGAGGTAAGCGCGTCCTTTTTGTGGAATGTCCCGCTCAGCGTACTCCGCGTCGAGTTGAGGAGATGAGGTTCAGCAACGCATTCAAGCTCTCAGAGATAGTCAACGTAACTGACCCCGCGATTGCTACAGTCACGATGCTGAAGACGGCGCCGTCATTCGCAATATCGAGGCCTGCCAGGCGATCTCTAAGACCGTCCAGACATCGCTCGGTCCCTACGGCCGCAATAAGATCGTCATCAACCACCTGCAGAAGATGGTACTTACGTCGGACGCCGCTACGATTCTTCGCGAGTTGGATATCGTGCACCCGGCTGCCAAGCTGCTTGTCATGGCGAGTCAGCAGCAGGATGCGGAGATGGGTGATGGTACTAACATGGTCATCGTTCTGGCGGGAGAGCTGTTGAAGAAGGCCGAGGAACTGCTACGGCTGGGCTTGAAGACGAGTGATATTACTCAGGGATACGAAAAGGCACAGACTTACGCTCTGAAAGTACTAGAGGGTGAGTTGTTTGGTCATTCCTTTTCTCACCGCGTTTTTCAGGGGCTATCCAATATGCCTCGCTTCCGAGCGCATTTTGTTCATCTACTGACCGAAATTGTGTTGATAGACCTCGAAGTCGATCGCTTGAAGGAACTGCGCTCTCAGGAAGAACTCTGCAAGGCTCTTCGTACGGTCGTCGCCAGCAAGCAGTCCGGAACAGAGGATCTCTTGTCATCGTTAGTTGCGGAGGCGGTTCTCGCTGTTCTGCCCAAGAATCCCGTCAATTTCAATGTCGACAATGTTCGCGTCGTCAAGATCATGGGTGGTAGCTTGGAACAATCCCGTGTGATCAAGGGTATGGTCTTCGGGCGGGAGCCTGAGGGTACCATCAAGAAGGCCCGCAAGGCAAAGGTTGGAGTTTTCAGCTGTCCTATTGATATTTCTCAGACCGAAACCAAGGGCACCGTGCTCTTGAAGAATGCCCAGGAGATGCTCAACTTCTCAAAGGGAGAGGAGGAGCGCCTGGAGTCGACCATCAAGGAGCTTTACGACTCCGGACTCCGTGTTGTCGTTGCTGGCTCCTCCGTCGGTGACTTGGCTCTGCACTATCTCAACCGATTCAACATTCTTGTCATCAAGATTCTTTCCAAATTCGAGCTTCGCCGTCTCTGCCGTGTCGTTGGCGCTACGCCTCTGGCTCGTCTTGGCGCTCCCATGCCCGACGAGATGGGCAGCGTTGACGTTGTCGAGACCACTGAGATTGGTGGTGACCGTGTGACCGTTTTCCGTCAGGAAGAAGCCAACGCTGTAACGCGTACCGCCACCATTGTTCTGCGTGGAGCGACTCAGAACCACCTAGACGACGTCGAGCGTGCCATCGACGACGGCGTCAATGCTGTCAAGGCTATCACGAAGGACCCTCGACTTGTTCCTGGCGCTGGCGCTACTGAGATTCAGCTCGTGGAGAAGATCTCGGCTTTTGCTGACAAGACCCCCGGTTTGCCCCAGTATGCCATTCGCAAATACGCCGAGGCTTTCGAGGTCATTCCTCGTACTCTCGCGGAGTCCGCTGGCTTAGACGCCACGGAGGTTCTCTCACGTCTCTATACAGCACACCACCGCACGACCAAGGCCTCCGAGTCGGAGGAGTCTGAAGAGGGCAGCTCTGAGGAGGAAGAGCCCTACTGGACTACAGGTGTTGATCTGGAGGCTGGTTCTTCGACCGGTACCTTGGATGCAGTTGATGAAGGTATTCTGGACCTCCTGGCATCAAAGAGCTGGGCCATCCGTCTGGCCAGTGAGTCCGCTCGGACAGTCCTCAGTGTTGATCAGATTATTGTGGCCCGACAGGCGGGTGGTCCAAAGCCTCCAGGCCCTAACCCCAACTGGGATGAAGATTAAATGTTTTTAGCTCTGACGAAATCTTTATAGTAAGGGGCCACAATGCAGGATGCTATTAGAGGCATGATCTTACGAAAAGTATATTGACTGGAAATTTGAGACAATATGTATAAGTCATTTGACTATAGTGGTAATACTATCTTATGCTTCTCAACCTAGTGTGACTGGTAGTAATAACGTTCATTTCTTGTTCCCAATCGCTATATCTTGTCAATGAATGAATCTGTCACGGAAGTATGGTGACCTTGACTGACGGGGTGTTGTCACGTGACTATCTGGATTTTCCGGGCCGAAGCTGGACTTTCTTTTTCATGAGTATCGGTTGATCGCGTTGTCGAGGCCCTTCATCGTTCCTGTCCCACCACCCTCCATTCGTCTCTCCAGTTACGACCGTCAATTCCGCCGTCCAACATGTCGCTCACTTCGCAGGCCGCAGCTCGCTGCTGCAGACAGCTCGTCCGTCCCTCCGTTCGCATCTCTTCCACCACATATCTGAGCCAGCGGACACCCAGCCGGAGGTGGAACTCGACAGAGGCGCAGGCTGCTGCTCCTGCCAATCCTAAGATCACCCAGATTGTTGATCAGATTAGCCAATTGACGCTTCTGGAGACAGCGGATCTCGTTGCCAGCTTGAAGGTCGGTTTTCTGCGTGTCCTGGGTGGTATCGCAATTCGGTCCACCATTTGGCATTTGGTGTATCTCATCAACCCTTGATGAGGGTTTGATTATACTGCTGTGTCGTTTCTGTACTGACATTAGTCTCTTGTGCAGTCCCGCCTGAATATCCCTGACCTCCCCGTTGGTGGCTTCGCCGTTGCTGCCGCTCCTGGTGGTGGTGCTGCCGCTCCCGCCGCTGCTGAGGAAGAAGAGGCTGCTCCCGCCGCGCAGGAGAAGACTCTTTTCAACCTGAAGCTTGAGACAGTGGATGCCGCCTCCAAGGCTAAGGTCATCAAGGAGATCAAGGGTCTGCTCGGCCTGTCCCTCGTCGACAGCAAGAAGTTCGTTGAGTCGGTACCCAAGATGATGAAGGAGTCTGTGCCCAAGGAGGAGGCGGAGAAGATCATCGAGACCCTGAAGGCCGTGGGTGCCAAGGTTGTCATGGAGTAAAAAAGGGGGCGCGATGATTTTTATCAATTGGTCATCCTCTTTTTCTGTCTGCGGAATGAGCGATGGGGGCTTGTGTGGATCTGTACGCTGTGGGTTGGACTGCATCATCCTGCCGGAGTTTTATGTCTTGCACCGCCTCTTCTTTATGTGTTTTACTTCTCCGTCATATATCTCTACACGGTTCCTGATATAACTGGAAAGCGGGAAACAGGCGGCAAATGTACATTATCAACTTTTGTTTGGACAATCTGGATACAAGCTGGACGGATAGTTCTTTTCTGGTCGATTCTTGTCGATCGTTATGGTGTTCGTAATTCTGAAGCATGCTTCTCATCTCTAATGCAACGTAGTCAACTGTAGATTATACATATGGCTGAAGGAAGGTTGTAGCATCACCTGCGATGCAAGCGCGGTACAGTACAGCTCCGAATTTCTCTCCGCCGCACCTCCGAAGCAACAAATCTTCCGCCGATCATGTACGGAGCAGACCTCCTACACGAGTTTCACTTGAGCTACGATGTCGCTCGCACGAACATCCAACGCCCTTCGAAGATGGCCATGTCTCTACGATAATCCACTTTTCCTATCTACCAGTTATATCCCCAACAACACCCGTCTCTCGGACTATCGCACCCCACGCACTAGCAGACACAAAACCACATCTCCACAAGCCACCAGGCCATTTCACTGTACAGCCTCCTGCTATGCAGCTCGATCTCCGGCCGCCCGTCGGGCTCAGGCTCAGACTCAGCGGCTCCGGCCGGTCTACTCGAGCGATGGCCTGTTCAACCTCCCCGCGCACGGGGACTTGACAGCGCGGCTCAAGTACATCGACGAGAAAGGACCGCTGCTATGGATGTCTGCGCTGGCCGAAGGGCTCCTTGACGACAAAGTCACGAAGAACACATTCCTGGATATTGCAAAAAGGTTACTGGAAACAGCTCATAGAGAGCTGCCATCAGCAGACGCCATCGGGGGGATATCCTCAGGTGCGAGCGACACCACCCACCCTCTGCAATTCCTGCAAAGACACATCCCTAACCCTCCAGCACACACATAGACCCAGACCTCATCTTCCAAATTGGCTACATCGTCTCCGGCGGTAACCCATCCTTCCGAGAATGGCTCCTCGCCTCCACCACCCACGCAGGCGCCCGCGTCCCCCTCCTCATGTCTGCCGCCAGATACCTGAACTCCCTGGGCAACACCGCCCCAGTCCGCACCCCGACCCTCGAGAAAATCGAGCATCTCGCCCTCCACGACCGCGACCCGCGAGCCATGACTCTCCACGCTAAGATCCTCGGCCTCCGGAAACGCTACGCCGATGCCCTCCGCCTCATCGAGCAGGTCATGGCCCTCATCTACCCGTCCAAAGTACCCGTCGCGAAAGACGGGGGGTTTGGGATGGCGCGCATCGAGCCGCCTTGGCGGGTGTACGCGTGGCTGAAGGACAAAGCACAAGCTCAAGCGAACGCAAATACGAAAACGGGCGAGGCTGGAACCCAGACAGATGACCTCTTGCGCTCCGCAGCGCTGGACTACCAAGACCCCGAGTCGCTGGTCCAGTACGCCACGGCGCGGATGCAAGCGGGCGATCTGGCCATGTACGAGGATTGCATGAGCCGGGCCGCGACGGCGGGGAACGCCGAGGCGTGCCGCCGACTCGCCAACTTCTACTATCTCACTTCGCTGGGACGGTACCCGCGGCGAGGGGTGCGCGAGACCGAGGCCAAGGCCAAGGCCAGCGCCCCCGTGGAACTAGCCACAAAGCCAGCCTCAAGCGCATCCTTGCGAACGAGTGAACCGAGCAATCGTGGGAAACTCTCTGCTCTGTTTTCAAGTGTTTTCGGGCCGCAGCCTCGTGCGGAGTACCGCAAGCTAGCGATAGAATGGTACGACTTAGCTTCCAGCCATGGGAGTGAGCAAGCGGTCGTGGTTCTGGCGGTGCTGCTGCGGGAGGATGGCTCCGCAGCTCGGGGGCTGCAATTGCTAGAGCAGATCGAGGGATCACCTTCGCTAGGGCCCCTCGTTAGGCGGATCAAGGCGCAGTGGGATGAGCAGGGTCAGGAGATTGGTATACCTCCTGAGCTGCTGGATGTTTGATCCGCCGTATGCCTCTACATGTCTGTATGTTTCTCTGATACCCATAATGGATGAGATTTTTCCTACGGAGCACTGTGATTCTGCTTATTGTCGTAGCATCTAGTCACCATACTGCAGCCTAATGGACGCCCTAAACCGGATCTATTGTCTTGCAAGACATCAATTCATCAGGCGCGTGACCTGGGATATTTCAATATATTCAGAAGATGTCATCCGACCATGTAGAACGCATTCTGGCCAACGCTATAATCATAAATGAATCATCAAGCTCATCTGCTTTGGACTTTCAAGAACAAGAAAACGAAAAACGAAGATGGTATCGACCAGTTGTTCTCATATCATCCCGTCGTGAATGCACGCTCTCCGTGCGTAAAATGATTAGTAACATAGTCCAAGAATGAGCATCCAACGCCTGTCGAGCTCCCTGTATGACCGACCAAAAATGAGCCCCCCGAAAAAAAGAAATAAGAAAAAGGATATATAATGCAAGTCATGATCTCGTTGCAGGAAATCGACCTTGTATCGCACGTCATCTCCGCCGCCCCTTGCCCTTCCCCTTGCCACGGGTTTTGAGCTCCACGAACCCGAGCTCCTTCAAAGCCTCGGTCAGAGGCGATGAGTCCCGCATTCCAGGAAAGTCTTTTGCGGGATACACGCGGAAGGGGTCGGACCAGACCTCGGCCAGGACGGGCATGGATTGGCCTGTGTCTTCCACAAGGCCCCAGTTCATGAGCCGGAACTGGAGCCGGTAGACGCCAGCGGACCGGATCGAGAGATCGGGGAAGACGAAGAAGGTTGCGGGGACTCGCACTTTGGCCAGATCCAAGCCGTTGGTAGGACTGGCCGCTCCAGGCTTCGTCTCTACCCCGTAATCCACGCTTGTGGGATGAGGCGGGGCTGTCTGGGGATCTGGATCCAATTCGACGTGGAAAGGCGAAACAAAAGCTTTCCCTGAAAGCAGCGGCGTGCCCTGGCCGGGACCATTCTCTTCGGCCCTTTGAGAGGTCGTGCGGTCCTCTCGGTTTGCGCACAACCCATCGGCTTCGGGCGAGCCGGGCCACGAATTCGCTGCTGATACTGGGAGAAGCAGACAGCCGACGGTAAGCCGAGGATCTTGAAGGGTGTCCAGATCGGCCTGTGATTGCGGGTCGAAGTCGGTGAGCAGCATCTGGATGATCGGCGGCGGATCTACTGGTCGCCGGTCCCTATCACCAGCACCGCAAGCCCGAGCAGCTATGGGTTGTTGTCGAATGTGCAGGTGGTAACGTGGGGACGCCGAGACTCGTCTTGGGGGCGGCGAAGGCTCTGGAGAATGATTGAGTAACCGATCGAATCCCATCGGGATGCCTGACGAGACTTGTCGCGGCGGTTGCGGGGGTAGGGCTTGTAACAGATTTAAGCGGCCATTAAGCGCTGCTGAGCTGCGATCAGAATGAACAGGACTGGGGATTGTCGTGGAGTTACTATACGAAAAGGAGTTGGTTAGCACTGTGGTTGATGGATGATTGAAACAGGAGCCGTCCGGGAGATATCTCCATGCACATTGAGTTATCCGTCTTTCTCTCCCCCTTCCTCTCTTTTGGTGTTGAGTGAGCGGATGACTTACGAAGAATCGACGTCCCTTGTATGCTCTCTGGGGCTAACAGAAATCTGTCCATGATAGTGATTTGAGACCCCCTGGTGAGGAAACTGGGAGTAATCTGCATCCGTTGGTGAACCGCTCCATCGCATTTTCGTTTGGCCTATAGAATCCGCACTGGCAGCCGCGATTCTCTCCCAATGATCCGCTCCCCTTGGCTGACCGCTCTGCAGTACTTTTAACTGTGGTAAGGAATCAGCACTGGCAGAGGCGCCGTTATACCTCTGCTCGGCGCCGCCGACCCAAGAGTGAACAGAAGAAGAGAATCGGGACTCGGTCGCAGGGGAGATGACTGGCGGATCGTAGCCTTGGGTGCCTTGAAAGATAAACGGCGGCGGCGGTTCATGCTTAGAGTAGGAAGAAGCTGGGTTCGGCGTCACCTCGCCCTGTTTACTGAGGGATGCAGAACTTTTCGAGTTGAGACATCGGCTGACGGAAGTGGAATAATTCCATTGTGAAAACGGCGTGTCCGACATCTATGCAGAACCGCGACGGTGCTCGAGGGAACTATCCCCCTTTGCCTCCGTGTAACCGTTCACTGCGTGTTAGAAGAAGGCAGAGGGCGAGGTCCCGCGATATGCAAGGAAGCGAGGCATCCGTGAATGAGACTGAATGCGGTTGGAGAATAGGCTTGACTGTGCGAGGGACTTGAGTGATATCCTGATTGGTGCAGAGAAGCCAACTGATGTTGTCGTTCTGCGAAGACCAGGGAACATTTATTGCTTATAGCTGGATGCTGCGCGTTGATGATAACAAGGTCGGGACGCAAGACACTTATAGACAGTTGATCTTGGTTCTGTTGGAACAATAAACGGTGACTAGTTAAAGAAGATCATTCGATGTGGATCAATAATGTCGAATCTATCTGAGTATGCTGGTTAGCATGAATCATTGCATATACGTTGGTGTTGTTCGACGACAACGACGACGACGTGCGGGCCACGGTCGTAAGGCGCAGCTGCTCTCCACCCTTTAGATTATTATTGGAGGGAGTTTGAAAGACACATGCTTAAGAAAACAGAATACAAGGGCCTGAAACGAAAGAGTCGAATCAGCAAAGGACAAGCAGCTGCTTGCCGAATGGGAGAGAGGCTGATGATGCTCCGAAGGATGGGTGGGTGTAGAGTACTACGTAGTACTAAGGTACTGACCCTGGGATGAACAACACCGGAGAGCAACTTCAAATCAGCCAATCCCAGCTCAAGTAGAGGATTAAATGGAGCCAACGCAGCCAGGATGCCAGGCGGACCTTCCCGACGGTTCTGTCGGTAAGTAAATAATAATCACTAGCAGTTGTCCCGAGTCCTTGTGTGTGTGTGTCAATGAGCAAAGAAAAGAGTAAAGACAAGCACAGCCGACCATGCAACGGCAACAACAGTGTGTCCCTGGCAGATGAATTACAATGTAAGTCTCCTTATCTGAGTGCGGCTTGGGAAGAGTAGAGAATAGAAATCATAATCAAAATTAAAATTACATACGAGTCCGATGGAGGAGAAAATGCACTTGCTGCTTTCCGAAAGTAGACGAAGAAAGGGCGGAACAGTTCTAATATTAAATATCCATACTATGATGGTTCAGATAGATGCATAGTTTCCAGCTAAGAACAAAGAACAACAAAAAGAAGGCTGGGACTGGAACCGTGGATTGCAAAGTGGATATAGTGGAAGCCTAATTATTAGGGTGCGGCGAAACGCTCCAGGTTCCAGGATTCATTATTGCGAGAGTCTATCTACCTTACCAGGCAACTGATCAGATATACTAGGTTATACAGTAGGCAATGAGCATGGATAATGGCAGAAAAGGGGTTGCAACTTTTGATACCTGATCCCTGATCCCTGACTGTATCCGGAGGTCCCGTAACAATAATACTATTAGGGTAATGACTGCCTGGTTTTGTTGGATGGACGATTTGTGTGTATTGTTTTGTAGGTATCCGCAATCGGAGAGCAAACAACAGAGCAGGGACCAGGGAGTCTAGGATTCTCGGGACTCACTATGGTGCGAGCCGAGATTACTGGTGGACTGCGATGGTACTTTAAGGTATCTAGTACAGAGTAGAACTTTTTGCAAACCAGCGGGACCAGTCAGTGCCCAATAAATCCGGAATATAAACCCCACAGCGAACCATACGGATGATCAGTATCGAGGATTTCTAGGAAATAGACTAATAGAGTATCTGCTCCGTAGTAGTACTATGGAAGCCAGGAGTAACATGCGATCTGGTGTAACCAGGACGCTGGACGCCATATACGGGATATTGATTGATTGGTCGCAATTCAGAACCGTCTTTTCGCGATTGGATCATCAAAGCCTTTGGAAAAATGGGATGGCGATTTGATGATCCAGTACGGAGTACCTCCGTAGGGAGAAGATACCAGGTCCTCAGGAGATAAAGACTGGCGAGAATCTAGTCTAGCGGTCGGAAAATCCTCCCGCTTTGATGGCAGTCTTTAGAGTGGACCTACCTTAACTAGGTAGCCGAATTGCTGATCCATCAAGGGCATTCCTTTTCTGATGGATACCTCTCTACTCCGTATGTGGAGAGGTATTTAATGTCGGAACTTATCTGTGTGCTCAGTACCGAGTAAATACTCCGTGATGCAAGCACACACGAAAGATAATGTCTCTTTCCTCCTGATCTGCATCGGTATGAAAAGCTTCGTCGGTGGATGCAAAATCAGATCCAGGAAGGGCCCCAAAGGATCTTCAGAGATGGTGATGGACTGATGTCGTTGCTATACTAGGTCATTTGACTCATTCGATATAAGACTAAGAAATGAGGGTCGCTTATTGGAAACCTATCAAAGCTCCAGATGTTCTCTCAGAACGGGCCGTGGAGGGTTTCGGTTCTAAATGACCGAACCGCGATGGCAGGGAACGGTTGAAGTGATTCGATCTCCCCGCAGTTCACAAGACCCAGGAAACAATAGATAGTACTAGTGAGTTAGTGGCAGGGACAAAGTTACAAAAGAGCTACTCGGCGCTTCATTTGCTTGCGGCCCTACCTCAATTAACAGCCAGGCACGATCCCCATACCTGCATCACATCGTTTCAACATTCCAGCTGAAGAGAATGTGGCGCAGTTCGACCAAGGTGGGCACTCGACTTCAAGTTTTCGACGGCGATCATGTGTTCCTTTTGCCTTCAATTTCGCATTCGCTCTTCCCCAGGGCAGGAATATGCACACAAAGAGAGCTAACGCAATGCGAGGTTGCCTTTTTCCTTTAGGATGGTTGATACGTCACACACCTTGATTCAATCCTTCTGCCAAGGATTCTAGGCATTCTGTACACCAAGGATTATGTGATCCGTCCTCGATATCAGTAATGGTTGACCGGTCACACTGGGATCGTGGAAATCTTGCGAGCAGCGAGGATAGACTCAAATTTCGGAGTCAACATTTGTCCGAAGTCCTCCATACCATTGTCATCTCATGTAACTCCGCCAGCCAATCTTCCTCGATCGAGCTTGCAGAGAGTCTATCGTTCCGTTGGCTATCGCAGGGGCGTGAGGATTATTCCCCGTGCTTCCTGCAATGCCATGTTATTCCTGCACAGTGATTCCTGGTCGTGAAAATGCAAGGGTCCGAATGAGGGAGTAGCCCACCATCGTCAGCCTGCAGCAAAATCACCAAGCATGGTCGGAAAAAATCACAGAATGCTTGAATGCCACCGGGACGGCCGCGGCCTCATCCCGATAATGCTGCCATACTTGAGCGGACCAGAGCAAGGTGATTCTGTTGAACAACAGCTGACAATCCGCACAAGACGCTCATCTGATCAGTGCATTATTCCAAAAAGTTAGAGTCTTTCAAAGGCAGTCAATCTGACCAGCAGTTCCGGGATTCGGGAGGAAATAATGAGATAATGTCGTGTTGCATATGCCAATAAATCCCGGAATTCTCAGGTATTTTGCATGCACACTAATTGAAGTCGATTTGCTTGAAGAGACCACCTAGTAGCCATAGAACTCGCTCCTAGGATCTGCCCATTACCATCAAGGTGTCTAGGAAAAGAAAGTCGTCCACAATGAGCGCCACACTTGCCAGGTACGGAAATAGGTAGACACGCCCACTAGGGTCGAGTTTGTAAACCAAACCCAGTAGCCAGATATACTAAACTTGGGGATACGTCTTTTTTTTCGCCTTCATAGATCGGCTCAGTGCACCTTAGAGGAAAGATAAGACAACGCACAATCCATTATCGCCATCAGATCTCCAAAGGATGCCAGAAAAGGGCCGTATAGGATCATCCGAAATCAGAATCATTAGATACTTCGGGTCGCGAAGATGTTAGGAGGACAAACTTCGGCGGCATGGGGACAGCTAAAATAGCGGCTCAGGCTCTGATGGGCCCCAGATACTATTTTGACAGACAGGCAGGTGTCCGCGCCCTTGCTCCATCGATGCTTGATCGCTGCCCAAGTCGCGCGGGGAAGACTACCTAATCACATTATTACAGCCACGCCGAGATATCCTGTCTTGACGGTCTCAAGCCACACTTGATAATCGGTATTTGTTTGCGCGGCAGATGCAGCTCACTTTGTTGAGATCCGAACCGTCCCGAATTCAGCTCTTTTAGCTAATGCTAACTAGCGGCTGGCATTAGGAAATGCAGCTTTTGTAGATCCAATATGAGCCTTACACTTGGCAATCGGGCTGGTTTGGCACCATGGCTCGCCTTGCTCAGGTACTTTACCCGTGGTGAACTGATCTGAGATAGCAACCAAAGAAAGCAAGTGGCGCGCGTTCAAATCACCAAATCTTTACATGGATCCACATCAAGATAGCATTTGGTGATATCAAATTCCGGTGACGAATGATTGTCTCCATGATGAGTTCCGTTTAAGTCGCTTCGCAGTTCGATTTTCATTATCGATTTGAGATCGAATGGTATTCGTGGGATATGCGACTGGATGCCCAGGCTTATTTGGCCCTGAGCTTTCCCCACAAAGACTGCGAAGAGTTGGCCTGAAGCGCGGTCCAGGGCTACTATATGGCCCGATTCTCTCCATTCGTGCTCCGCACTGGGTGCTTTGGGCTTTATGATTAGATATCCAAGCTGTATCAAGTGCAGCGAGCGAGTATCTGTTGATGACAACCCGGCATTTTCAGGGTCGAGCCGGATCAAACCTAGGGAGGAAGGTGAGTTTGTCGTGTGTTCCCCAGATCTCACCTCAGAAGAGTTTAGGACATCGACGGGGCAGCGTTGAGGTACCCAGGCCAGCTCTAGCGGTGTATTTTCAGCCGATGATTGAACAACCGGAATATGTTCACCTCCATGCTCGTCTAAGCAATTGGCAAGTCTGGTGAGATCTGAAAGCGATCCAGAACAACCTAAAGCGTGCATTTCGGCAATCAAGCGTTCGCTGCTTTCGTATCCAGTACTGTCTCCATCCATCGTAAGAAGAGGCTGTCCGGTCGCATTGTAACTGAGGTCAGATATACTAGTGTGAAGAGATCTTTCGGGCAGCCACTTGATCCCTAGCCTCTTCTCCATGTGTTCGAGGTGGAATTCGAGTATCTTGAGGTATTCATCCTCGCCACAGAGACGAGATAGCGACTCGCAAACTTCTTGATTAGCGAGAAGTACACTCAGACCTTTGAACCCTGATATATGAGGAAGGGCGTTACCACAGCGCTTCGAGATTTGTTCCAGATACGTGGTGGCCCTGGCGACATCTCCTTCCACTACCAGAGCCGTTATACAGGAATAGGCATCGCAAAAACGGCGATCGGCTGCTCTGGCCCACAAAAGGCTCACAACCTTGCGCCATACACGATGAAGCAATTCACGGCTCTTTAGCTTGACGAGCAATCTAAAATACCGTCCAATTAACGTCGTCCTTTTCGAATTTTTCCGTCCAGCCCAGAACAATATGGAGTGCAAAGTGACTGCTGAGGCATCATCGGCACCGGGCTCGCCAGTCACTTGTTTGAGCATTGAACCGGTATCTGGATGATCCCCTTGAAGCTCGAAGGATCGGATGGACATGTAAAGCGCATCTACCAGGGGGACACTCGAGGCCCAACTAAACCGCGTGGGGCTGATAGCAAGTGAACCTCTCAGATGTCGTTCGAGAGCAGCTGTAGAGTAAGAAAGGCATGCGTAGTACATGCCCAGTAGGTGTAATTTCCTAGGTAGATCCATCTGCATTCTCTGTAGTCTTGAAACGAGTGCATTGATAGCGACAAGGATCTCCGCAGCCGAGTGGTGTTGTTGACAACGTTCCAGCGCCTGCGCCAGAGGTTTACAACCCTCTTCTACCTGCAGTAATACACAAGGCCCATGTCCATTAAAGTGTCTTTCTATGAAGATCTGTAGATGACGTAGATTCCGCACATCATGCTCGAGACCTTTGAAAAACACATCCCTATCAAGTCCGGCGGCTTTTGGGCGGAGAGAGCTCCACAAAGGTGGAGGTAGAGTAGACAGGCGCCATTCGCCTAAGAACACATCGTTCAAATGGTCGTCCAAGTCCTGCTTTGACACATCTTGTCGCGACAGTTTTGTAGTTCCCGTCAACGCATACCGAAGAATCTGAGACGGAGTAGGTTCATGGTTTGGGGCTTTTGTTTTAGTGATTGCGGATTGCGCACGATACTGTTGTTGCGATCTGTAGCGTTGTGGGAGGCTGAGATGCTTCAATGGATGGCCAACCCGGCGACACAAAAAGTAAGCCATCTGCCACTCTGCATTGCCAGGAGAATCATAATTCGATAATGTCGCCCTGAAATATCGATGGTGGCAGGGAGATTTGGAGCGTGAGTACAAAATACAAGCTATTCTAAAGGCGGTAAGAGGATTGGTGGTCAAGAATACCTGAGCGCTGTCGTCGATTGAATTTCATCATTGATCCTGCATCCAGCTTCCGTCTATCTCGCCTAGCCTCTATTTACGATCGTCTTGAAGACTTACAATATAATCTCATACCTGATTCGACGCGTATTTCAAAGAGAACCCTTGAAGGACCTGCGCGACTGCCACGATTATGCCTGCTGAGCGCGTTAACGAAGTGTCTGCGGCGAAGCCTTCCGACGCCAACGCCGCTTCAAACCAGACTCAGTCTGATGCAGCTCCTGCTGAGCCAGCAGCTTCGGAAGAGTCTCAACAGAAGACCTCATCCGAAAAGGCAGAGAGCAAAGAAGATGATGCAGCTGCAAAAGCTCGCCAGCGGCAAGAAAGATTTAAGGCCCTTCAAGCTCGTGCTGTGAGTAACCCGGTCGCAACCGTCAACTGATCCACCATTTCAGCTTCTCGCTTGCCTTCCGAAAGTCGTGTATGTGCTGATGCTCAAACAGAAAAATGCAGCTGAGCGCAACCTGAAAGAAACGGCGGCCGAAACCCAGCGTCTAGCCACAGATCCTGCATTGCTCTCTTCATTGTCGCGCAAGCACGCATTTGCATCTCACAACCTTCTCAAAGCAGATACAGAGGCTGCCGGCGAAGACTTCGAGCGTAAGAGAGCCTGGGATTGGACCATCGACGAATCCGAGAAATGGGATCGGCGTATGGAGAAGAAGCAGCGTCACCGCGATGATGTTGCGTTTCAGGACTACACACAGGATGCACGGAAAGTATACAAAAGACAGCTACGCCAAATGCAGCCTGATATGGAGGCCTATGAAAGGGAGAAGCTGGCTGCGATCGAGAAGGCAGCTGCAAATGGTGACTTGGAGATCGTTGAAACCAACGACGGTGAGATGATTGCGGTCGACAAGAACGGTACTTTCTACTCGACGGCAGATACGATTGGTTTTACGGAGAACAAGCCGGATCGAGCCGGAGTCGACAAATTGGTCGCAGATTTGAGAAAGGCCGAAGAGGTCCGACTTAAGAAGCGCAGGGAGCGCCGCGGCGATGAAGAACCCGACGTCACATATATCAACGAGAAGAACAAACAATTCAACCAGAAGCTGGCTCGATTCTACAATAAGGTATGCCTCTTCACGAAGACTTCAGCTTTACGAACGGAACTAATGCCTTTCAGTACACTACGGAGATTCGTGACAGTTTCGAACGTGGTACAATGATTTGATCCAGTGCTACCTGCTTAGGTCTAATATACAGAGCGGGACTCCTTATTACATCCCAATCGGTGAAGTGCCTAACCTCATCCACCTCTCGGCAGCGGCCTGCCGAGGCAATCACGGAAACACGAGAGGTTGGATTCAAAGCATGCTTTTTCTCCACGCTTTGGTTGCCAGGTTTTCTATCTGCTTCGTTCCTACCGCGCCCCGAATGGACTCGTCCTCCATCGCTTCCACTACAGCTTCGCCCACAAGATCCACCTGGAAAGGCTTATCGACCATCGCACCGAGGAATCGAAGCCTGTCACCCAAGAGGGCATTGAATTGGGAGGCAACAAAACCACCCAAGGCTATTGGAAGTGTGATTTTTCTGCTTGAATCATACATGAAGGGCGGTCTGATGAAGATACTTCGCAACTCTGGCAGTTCAGACGCTATGGTCGTCTCAGCTTCTCGCTTCGTCGTGATATATCGACTGGGTAGCATTGGTGCTCCCGAGGCGGCTGATATGTATACGAATGTTGGAACATGTTCGCCGGATGACTCCTTCGCTAGTGCAATGGCTGTTAATTTCCAGTTCGCTGTCAGCTCCGCGTCTTTAGCCAATTGATAGTCCCAACATGTACGAACCAGAATCCCTGTTCATGATCTCATATGTCAACTGTCCGTCTCTCTCCTTAGGCTCCAGCCGCTCTCCATCCCGCCTCGTCAGAGGGTTCTGGCTACCCAGCTTCGACGAGCTGAAAGCTCTCTGTAGGCCACTGACAACTGGCTCCTTCCCTCGTACCACGCCTTTGTAATCTGCTTCAAGTAGGATGCCCATACTATGGACCACGACGTCGGCATCACGCAAAAATGGTTTGTATGTGTCAGGCTGAAGTAAATCTGCCTTAGCCCATTCAACGGATTTGGCCCATGTTGGTCGATCGTGTGAGCTGGTAACAGTATCCCATCGAGGTTCTCCGGACCGACTATTGACGTCTAAGCAGGCACCACCAAGACCGAAATTCGGATTGTGAAAGTATACCTTAGAGATGTAACAGACCAGCCTCTGTTCACCGCTGATTTACAAATACGCGATCCTAATTGAAAGTCAGCCATTACCATAACGCTATTCAAGAGCGGAAGAATCACCCACCTAAGAAGCCGTTTCCGCCGGCAACTACTACGCGTTTTGAAGCCATTCTGGTAAACGATTGATGAGGAGATTGAGTGTTTTGCAATTGTTAGACATAGGTCAGATGAACAGTAGAAAATATGTCCTTTATATATGCCTCATAAGTTCCTCAATAAAAATGCTGGAGCTAAGCTAAAGCTACGGAACGCCTGCTTCCGACTATCGTCATCGGCCATCGATCGTTGATTATCGGGCACGTCACGTGCCGATCGGAGGAGGCAGTTTACGGTACAGGTCCGAATAATCAAAGCCAGAAGCCTACGTTCCAACAGCCTCGTTAAAGCTCAGCAAATTGCCGCATCTTCAATTATACCTTGAGTTAATATCACACAGGATGCCTTCAGCGACTGGAACCAAGCGCGTCAGGGTTCGTGCCAAAGTTGATCTCTTCGATCAGTCGCAATATACTGACCAGTGCTCTTCGCAGGGTGTGTCGATTTTCAGACCGTTCGGTATGTTAACTTGCCCATTCTGTTGAATTTGTAGGGCTTCATATTCTAACGCTTTGCAGTTTTTGGCAGCGAAGCGCGGCCATTCGACCCTGAGAAGAAACCCCCTCATGTCCCAGCAGATCACACCCACCAGTGGCGCGTATTTGTCAAAGGAGTCAATGACGAAGACATTTCCTACTGGCTGAAGAAAGTTCAGTTCAAGCTACACGAGACATACGCGCAGAATGTACGCACCATCGAGCAACCACCGTTTGAGGTGACCGAGACCGGCTGGGGTGAATTCGAAATCCAAATCAAGCTCTACTTCGTGCCGGAGTCCGGCGAGAAACCACAGACACTATGGCATAGTTTGAAACTACACCCATTCGGGCCCGGTGCGGAGGTCAAGAAAGAGCGCAGAGAGGTGGTGATCAGCCAGAACTACGAGGAGATTGTATTCAACGAGCCCATGGAACCGTTCTACGACCTCCTCACAGGCGGACCTGCCTCCCAGCAAACGCAGAAGGGCAAGGGAGGGAAGAATACAAAGCAAGCCGCGCAGCAGCGTGGAGGTCGGACCGCCGAAATACCTCAGAATGAAACCCCGGAGAACCCCTATAGCAGAACGACTGAGAATAAGGAGCTGGATCGTTTAGAAGCGGCCAACAAGACGGTTGAGCAAATGATCAAGGAAGAAAGAGAGCGGCTGATTGAGCGCGAAAAGAAGCTGGCCGAGCTGCGAGAAAGCGAAGGCATCCCTGCCAACACTAAAAAGAGATGATCATCGAGATGATCATCCTTTGCCCGCCGGATACCTACTAAAACAGATGCTCGCTTCGACTCTTGGGCCATCACGCTTGCCAATCTATCCACTTGCTACGAGGTCTCAGCGCATGCTCCCTGCATGCTCTTCGTGCCCAGGATCACCTGGTTCCTTCTGGCACCGTCTCCTCTGCCTTTATCCACCCAAGTGCCCGGGGTCCCCCGACAGTTGAATACCTTACATGAGTATGCAGTCATAGACCCAATTGAATGCTCTAAGGTCGGCACATGCGCATCGGCCAATTCATCGTCGCATGGTCCGCTACTTTTCAGCGCAATTGGGCTTTTCCGATGAGTTGGCATGAGATACCGGGGCAATCACAACAAGTCTGGGGAGTCAACGCGTGTAAATTATCTTCTAAGCCTTCTGGTGCATAACACGCATGTCAGTCAGGATGTTGTTCTCATGCTTGCAAAAATACTCTCAAGGAACGTTCCTCGCGTCAAAGTACTACCATTGATCGTTAGATCGCTGTCTTCCAACGCAGCCAACCCATCAAACGATTGTCCCACTTTATGTCAGACTCAAATAGTACACGAGGATCGTAGGGCCGCCTTGAAGCTGGATCTAACTTTCAACTGATCATATTGTTCCCCTTACATATTATTAAATGGTCAGGTGGGTTAATAGATCGAATTTCCGCTTCCGTATCCGCTTCCGGACACATTGTCTGAGATCCACCCATAACCGCTTTGAGCCGGCTTGTCTTCGGATGTCATGGATATGACAGAAAGTCATAGAAAGTTATTTGTCATGACATATTTGCGAAGAATGTGTGTGCCAAGTTTGACTACATGTATGGTATGCGAGCGGTGGGTATTAAAGCTGAGTTTTCATTCAAATGAATAAAGATGAACTGATTTATGTACAAACCCTAACGCCGTGCTCCGTGCTCTAGAAAGAAGTAGGAATATCTACTCTGTACTCATTAATGCTTGCCTCTGGTGAAAATTCCCACCTCAGTCAGTATATTTGGCCGCAGCTTTTGTCGTATCCCGAGTCTGTTTCAAGAATGGGATTAGGTCGGTTCCGCCTGTACCACTGTATCCTGCTGGAGTGTCCTTTGAACGTGTGACTTGATGCGCTGCTGTCACGGTTGCCAGATTGACTTGTGCGGACGAAGTCTGGGTTGGCTTTGTCCTCGAAGGCGTGATAATGTATCGTGAAACCATCTGAATATGCTTATCCCGGAATGCGCCAACAGCCATGACTGCCGTGTTGTATGCGTTCCTGACCTCCGTATCTGCTTTGTAGCTCATGGCGAATTGGCGCACGTTTGAAGTTCGAATCATCATCTCCAGGAAGCGTCGGTGAGGGCCAGGCATGTAGTTTCGCATATCCTACGTCGAGGATAGTCAGTTCCCAGCTCGACTTTGAATAAGGAGATCAGTGAGAGAAGATGCGTACCTGAATGTAGCCAATCTTAGGCTTGGACTGAGATGTGTTGTTCAGCTTTGCTTCCCCCGTGGCTGAATGCTCCACACCCAAAAAGATATCGAATGTTTGAATTAGTGAGCTCTGCGCATTGCTTCCCCCACTGTACTGATGCCACTCCCCGTGGCCTCCCAGATCATAAAAGACACCCTGGGGCAGTCCAGCCGAGGCCATATTCTTGCTACCAGCCAAGTAAGGGCGAAGCTGATAGAAGAAGACGTGTGGGTTGCACTTCTCATACATCCTCTCTAGAATTTCGCCAAGCTCTTTCAGGCCATCACTCAATTGATAAAGTAGAGTTGTGACTCTTTGATCGTCAGCCAGGTTGGCTGCATATATGGCGTTGAGCATCAGGGTAATCAAATCTGCTCCTTTGGCTTCGATAGCAACAGAGATCATGAAGAACCATTCTTCGTCCTTGGTACCGGTGAAAGATGTGAGGATAGACAAGTTGTCCGGGTTAGTGAGATCAATATCAGGAGAAGAGACTTTGAAGTTCCAGAGGTTTAAAGCGGCATAGGTAGCACATGGTGGCAGCTCTAAATGCTTTGAGACCTCCAGGATGGGACACGACACTGCTGGTGGGAGAACCTAGAGAGCCATGAGAAAGCTGCAATCATACAACGACAAAGGACACATACGTCTTTTGGCCGTTCACCTCCCCAAATATAGGCATGAGTGATAAAAGCAAGCACAATATATGCTCGCCGCCATTCTGATTCTTCCTGCAGTCTGGAAGTCGAGAGGATAGGTAGACTGTCAACCACTTGCCGTACATTTCCCGCCGTGAGCCGAGCTGGTAAATCAGCGACAACTTCCTCCCACGGGGAGTAGTATGGATCTTTCAGTTTCTGCAGAGGAAGGGTGTCAGGAAGAAACCCATTTCGAAGAGAAACACAGAACTGGTCAAGCACGATTTCCGGTGTGTTAAGCATGGCGAGGGCTTGTTCGACAGTATGAGAAATGAGTGGCCAATTGTGCAAGTGACTTTATAGTCAGAGATTCTGGTAACGAGCTTTAGAATAGGAATATTCACTCTGTCCATGTCGAAGCCAGAATATATGGGAAGGAACTGCTCGGGCGGAAGAGGGCCGGATCCAACCCGGAATGATAACTTGGCGGCATGAGCACAGGAAACAGTAAGGAGGTAATGAGGTGATGTGATATCCAAAGCATGGACATGGACGGCTTGTGAGATCAAATCACCTTATCACCATACCAATAATTGAAAGCTAATATTGCGGGTATCCTTTTGACAATCATTCCTTCCATGAGCACGGATTCCGAGGCGGAAGCGGATAAGCCTCCCGCTTCCGCCGGGGTCGATGGAATCACCTCGAGACCACGTATAAAGCAAGGATTGAGTGTCGGACTGGCTGTCACAATCAAACTCATTTTGCTTTGATTTCAACAGCACTGGTGCCACATCCTCATCCATCATGTCTACCAACGGCACACTATCCAAGCCTGAGTTCCCTGCCAATGCGGCAAGCAAGGAGTATGCGGCCTCTTTGGACGCTGCAGACCCGCTCGCAGGCTTTCGCGAGAAATTCATCATCCCATCAAAGGCAAACATTGCCTCTACCAAACTGGCGAAGCCAGGTGAGTAGGATTATTCCCCAAATGACCGCTCATCGTCGCTGACGAATCTTTCTCAGGCCTTTCATCTGAACCATGTATTTACTTCTGTGGCAATTCTCTTGGTATTCAGCCCAAAGCCACCCAGAAATATTTGGAGGCGCAACTGGACACATGGTCGTCAATTGGCGTCTGTGGTCACTTCACCAAGATCGAAGACTCCCCATTAAAGGAATGGCAGAATCTGGCTGAGCAGGCTGCCGAGTCTATGTCGAAGATCGTGGGGGCGGCGCCCGACGAAGTCGCAGCAATGGGTACATTAACAATGAATCTGCACTTGTTGCTCGCAAGCTTTTATAAGCCAACTGCAACCAAGCGTAAGATCCTGATGGACTGGAAGGCGTTTCCCAGCGATCATGTGAGTGATACCTTCGCAATACCCGCGTGAGTTATGCTAACCTGTCACCAGTATGCCATCGAATCTCATGTTGCCTGGCATCATCTAGATCCTCAGGAGACCATGGTGCTCATCGGCCCAGATGAGGGAACATACGAGATCCCAACGGAGAAGATCTTGTCTTACATCGATACGCATGCAGACGAGGCAGCTCTCATCCTGCTTCCGGGAATCCAGTACTACACTGGGCAATTATTCGACATTCCAAAGATCACCGAATATGCGCACTCACGAGGACTTATTGTTGGATGGGATCTGGCTCATGCCTACGCCAATGTCCAACTAAAGCTACACGACTGGGACGTCGATTTTGCAGCTTGGTGCACTTACAAATACGGCAACGCCGGCCCCGGGGCAATGGCAGGCCTCTTTGTCCATGAGAAACATGGTCAAGTCGACTACAGCGAAGGAGAGGATGCGCCAAAGTTCCGACACCGTCTGACTGGGTGGTATGGAGGCGATAAATCAGTGCGATTCAAGATGGACAATAGTGAGTTCTAGTCTTCTGAGCAGTCGACTTGACCCTATTCAGTTCTAATGTCAGAGCAGAGTTCAAACCAATCCCAGGGGCGGGTGGTTACCAGATTTCGAACCCTTCGGCCATCGATCTTGCATGCTTGTGCGCTGCTCTATCGGTGTTTGATGAGACCTCCATGGCTGAGCTGCGCAAGAAATCTGTCTTGATGACGGCGTATCTAGAGTACCTGCTGTTAAAGGACACCACGGACGAGTCGCGGCAATTCCAAATTGTCACACCTTCCGATCCTGCCGCTCGAGGTGCTCAACTCAGTCTTCTGCTTAAGCCTGGGCTATTGCACAAGGTAGCTCATCGACTGCAGGAAGCAGGAATTATTTGCGACAAGAGAGAACCAGGCGTTGTCCGCGTCGCACCTGTTCCATTGTACAACACTTTCACTGAGATCTGGATGTTCGTTCAGCAACTCAAGGCAGCTCTGGAAGAATGAATTTTGCCGAGTCGTCATGTTCAAGACTCAACTGTAACGTGATATGATTTTCGGTTACTCCATCGTTTGATTGTTATTCATATGGCGAATTTTCATGGCGAATCCGCAAGAAAAATGAGGATAGAAGAATACCCAAGATGACTATTTAGCAGCTGTGCATGTCAACGGGCCCAGTCGTATCAAAAATCTCGTAGGAGAGTGTAGCTCCAATCCCATATTTCTGCCTGGCCTTCCAATGACGAAGTTTGGTTTTCGATTTGCGGCCCAGCCGTTCTAAAACGGAGGCTTTGTTGTTTTCGAGCCATTTTTTGTTGTTGTCTCGAGGGGTAAGGTCTTTGAAGCCTGGGGGGTTGGGTCGTATTCGTTTCGATGCCCAAATATAGGAAGGTGACCATCAACGACAATACAAAGCATGTCTCTTCTCCAATTCTGGCACATATTAACCATTTCGAGCCGAGATTGCAAATTTAATCTCCTCTTTTGGATATACTCCTTGCTATCGTGTCAATATGATTGACCCGCAATCGTGGATCAGAACGCGCACAACACTTGATACCTAGTTCGCTACCATCAAGTGAACAAGTAATCCCGCGCCTTCACCAGCATGAAGATTTCCTGGCACTGCATGGACTAGCCAGGAGGCCTTTTGGAACGGCAGTAGTACTCATCAATCTTGCCCTCCGCTATCGTATGCGAATCCTGATCGGGTTACCCATACGAATGCGAGCCTTGAACATGCAACCTCCTCATATGGCGGCTGATACAATGTTCCACGGTTTGCAGGAGACAGTCTTATTGCCTGGACAGCGATTATTTCTCAGCTGCAACCTGGTACGGTGCAAATCATTGCGTTGTTGGGGTAATTCCCCAGTCCTGGGCCGGCTTCATGCTTTGCCATTAATACTATTTGCGTTGTTAGGCATCAGTCAATAGACTCAATACTTATGAGAGTCAGTTCCTAGAGTATTTGCAATGTCCGGAGCGAGTTCTACTGTTATTCTACCTCCACTGGACAAGCTTCTGGCATTAAAGATCTAGGGCCGCCTACTCTATCAGATCCAACCCTCGCATAAGTCAAAATGAACCTCGCTTTTGAGAACCACCCTAAGATAAAGCTGCGACTCCATATTATCATTGGCGTATTACTTTGTCTAAACTTTGTCCTCGTCATTGCACGCATAGCGGACAAGGGTACGCCCAAGACCAGGTCAAACACCTGGGGTATTGCCGTCGTGAGTGTACCCTCATTTCTTCTGTGGCTTGATCGAGGTCCGGAACAGCTAGTTGCAGCTCAAAGGCTGACCCAAGACGTCGAGCGCTTCAGTGTCTCAAGGCCGCCATCTTCCTCGCTTACCAAGTCGTCACGGCTCATGTAGAGCGGTTCAAGCGCTGGGCGAGTGCGAAGGCGTACATGATCCTCAATGTTATCGACACCGTTTTCTGGTTTGCTCTCTTCATCATCACCATCCTGGGAACAAACGGCGCATACAGTACGAGCAGCCGTGCGCTTGGTGGCGTTGTCACTACGATAAGTATAATTTTGTGGTACGTGAGTCTCTTTCAGGGAGGTGTCGTGATCCTCGATGCTTAGTGGAGGCGTATTTCAAGTAGAAGTGCTGATTTTTGTCACAGTGGGATCGTTGGCTTTCTCACTTTCATCTGTATTCGCGGATGGAGATACTTCAAACAACATGGCGTCCTTCCAGGCACGTTTAAAGGATCGAACTAAGGATCTACTTGATCACGATGCTAACAACGGCTCCGCCTATGATGCTTCTCAAATTGAGGGTGATCTTGCATGCTGCAATGAGATATGAGGTTGATTTATTTTGAATTTGAAGGTTTCGATGTATTTAGGTGTTTGAAGTTCGGTAGAAGGTAGTGTTCGGTCTCACGTAGAAGACACTTGTATGTAAGTATACAGACGAGATTTGCCAGCCGGGTGAATTAGAAGTTCCCAATTCCTTCTCTGTTATCACTGCCGCGCAAGAACTCTTGTCCCTGGGAGAAGAAGTTTGTGGCCAAGATAGATAGCTCGTCGTTGAAGAAATCTGGTTGACGCGGAGAGATTGCTGAGCCCATGGCATAGTGTGACACAACCGGAAGAGCAGGTTGAAAGCCATATTCAGACATTCGTGACCCTGGCTGTGATTGTTCGGAGTGTGAATTCAGGCGAGTGGGTTCGGGTAGAGGAGACGTCTGCGATACTTCCATGTCAATGGTAGGCGGTTCACTGTATAACGAATCGCCGAACAAGCGACGAGCAGAGCCCGTATCCCTGTTAAACGAGTATTCGAGGATTTCCCAAAATCGTGACAGGTCTATCAGTAGGCTCTTATTCTGAGCCCGTGGCTCAGGTTGATAAGTGGCTGAAACAGCACCTTCCAGTCGTTGTAATTTATCCGCCTGTATAATGAATAGCATTGTTAGTCAACTCATGTCTCGTAGGATAGGATGATAATCACTCACCAATTGCGCCATGTGAGGCCACCTTTGCCCAATGTTTTCAACGAACTTGACACATCTATAAAAGCGATCGCGCTTCTCTTGTCGGATGGTTTTATCTTCAGTAAAACTTAGCTGTAGTTCGATGGTTGCCACCACAGCGGCGCTGTACCCTAGGAGTGGATCTGACACAATGAAGTTTTTCTCTTCAAAGTAGTTTATGAAATGAATGATCCAGGTGGTATGTGAAGATATAAGGTCCGAAGTGTGTTGCAAGAATATCTCTGGAATAGAGTTCCGGAAGTTCCTCAGGCTCAGAGACAGCAGAAGCGGATGATTAAGGAGGCAGAGGTTTGTATGATAGAGAAATTGGTTCAGGAACCACGGACCCCAGTATCCTCGGTTGGCTTGAAGCTCCTCGGCCGTCCTCTCGCTGAGGTTGGCCGGTTTGAATCGATGAATGTAAGGCATGCGTGTTTCCAGGTCCATTTGGAGCGTGATAATTTTGGAGTACTCTGACTGTGAGGACCAGGGTGGGACACTGCTTGGCCGGCCGTGGCGATGAACGTATCTCGTGGTTTTGGCGAAGACCTCGCTTAGAATGATCACATACGCAATGATCCCCTGGTCTTCCATACCAGTAGACCGAGCCTCATCAGTTGCACCGCTCGGCGAAAAGGGCGAATGAGGGCGCTCAGGGCTATGTGGGAACGGGGGAAAACTCCCATCAGGGAACCCCATGCTGTCAAATTCAACACCATGAAAACGCTTCAAGAGGCAGATGCTCCAAAAGCAGCGTCTCCGCTCTTCGCGGAGCACCGCGGACAACGTAGCGTGCGTTTCGGAGCCTAAATTGGCACATTGGGCCAAGTTCATCGCAAGACTACTGTGAATGCTCGAGCGATGTGTGTTGCCGTCTGAACTGGTTAGGCTCGAAAAGCGTAGGCTCAAGGACTATACTTACTGGTAAAGTCGATCAAACTTAGAAGGCAGAGACACTGTAGGGTAGATAATTCAACCGGGCCCTCTGAAACTCTCCTCATGACCAGTCCTCTAGCTACCTCTGTGTAGCCGCTCACAAGAGTTGCAAGATCATTTAACCCCTGGCAGTCTTCGTCAGAGAATCGTATACTCAAGGCGAGTATAGCGTAGAGGATTTCGGGATCTCGAGAGCTGAGGCTGCTAAGGAAACTGTCTCTGTGAAAAAGAGGAAGAGGCTGGGACTCGCAGTATAGTAGATACAGTTCTGCCACTGCGAGCACTTTCTCCCAGGTCGGAAGTGGAGTAATGGCACTGATCATCGATGAGGTTATAGGGCCGCTCAAAGTACTAGGCCGAAGAGACGAGTCGTTCGCCCTCTGTTGTTCGGCCCTCGAGCTATTTCGTCTAATTGGAATTATCAGTCGCTGATCGCGTCTCACAAGAGTGTAGGAATCGCGTACTCTAGAGCATCAAGGACTTTACCCATCTTCGCTTCCAGGCTCCCGAGACGATCCTCCTGAGACACAGTCAACGAAAAGAACAAGGCTGCTTCGTACAGAGAAGCGAGCTCACCAATGTTCGAGTAATTCGCACTTCAGGGGCATCAGCAGCAGTAAAAGCAGCGACGGGAGGTGATCCGTCTGGTGTTGCATGCGGCAGTGACCTGCGTCTTTCTCCAGCGTATGCGCATCGCTGGCGCAATCGTGCGCAGAGCGAGCAAACAGGCTGCTCACCAGGACATTTTGCCTTTTTGCGCCTATGGAATGGTGAGCCAGCACGTCTAGTCTCGAAGAAAGATGGTCAGGTTTACCTGCATGGTTCGCATGCTTGCCGTACGCGTTTGCTTGGTCGCTCAAGAGATGTTCGGTTCATCTCAGAGCAGGCCGGGTTAGAATTGTGGAGTTGACCGGATGTACGTTGTGTTCACCGTGTCAGTAGACAGACCATTCTTGAAATCTCGTGAGCTGCCTACGGAAGCGCTCTGTGGCATTTTCTCGCACAAAAGTGAACCTTCTTCAATTATTCGTGTATAGTTGTATCTTGTGTCGGATGCCCCTCTAAGTATTTTGATCAGTCGCCTATTTGATCTCGTTGAGGGTCAATGGATGTTAATGCTCAGAGCGGATGCTGGGGTTGTATCCCATAGTTAGTTATCCGTTCGGTTGATTACTAATCCCACCATGACGATATCACAGGAACGAGCAGTATGGCCGGGAGACATTGAGACGGGGGCTCAATTGTATAGGGCTACGAAGTTGGAGCCTCACGTTTACTAGTAAGCGTACAATACATGAAAGGCGTCTAGTAGATAGGCATCTCGGAGTATGAAAAACGTGAATGGTGAGCACCTGTTCCAATGACTTCCTTCTATAAGATTGACGAAGCGATATTCGATGGCATTCAGTACATAAAACCGTCTTGTCATGGCTCAATTGGAATAACTCGACGAATCATTTGAACAGACTGACCAACTCTTCCATTGATACCCTGGCTGATCTTATATACAACGTCGTGATATTTCCTCTCAAACCAACTCGTCTGTCGAAATAGAAATACACCGCTAATGGATCCAGGAGACGCTAGTCCATGTGTTTGATCGGAAACTGGCGAAGATTTATCTAGTTCTTGCCGAACCAGGTCTTGTGGCCCTATTTGAATGTCAGTTCACGAACGCGCACAAGCCGCGAGGATAATAGGCTCCGGGGACATCGTAACGGGCGAGGGGTACTAACAAGGACCATACGGCACATGGCATAGGTGGTGGCTAAAGTGAGTTAGCTACGAATGACTCCTTCAAAGCGCGGCAGAACTCACCAATGCCCAGACCGTAAACGGAGAGGAGGTAGGGGTACATGATGTACTTGCTACGATCAGTCTTCAAGGAAGAAAGTACCAGTCAGCGAAACACAGTCGTTCCAATGTATATGTGCAACCCGCAGACCAACTGACCTTCCACCACTGACGCTTGCCATCGTGCTGCTGGAAGAGACGCTGGTAGTAAGGGACACGGTTCTCGCGGAACACGAATCTAGGATTCCCAGGCAATAAGTGTCAGCAAATTCATGAGCGGAATTGAGTATTCCAAAAGAAAGATGGCAGATTGCCAACAGAAATTGGACGGTCGTAGGCAATCATCCCACCCGAGTCGAGATGATGCTACCGGTCGAGTAGGAATTGAATCAGAACGAACGTACCCAGCCATGCGGGGAACAGTGCGGAACATCTTGACGGTATGTCGATGCTGTATCGCAGCTTCTAAATGAGGTAGACAAGTTTGGTGGGAGAAGAAAGACCAGCAACAATGATCAGTCGATGCCGTGAAGTGTGGATCCGGATTTGGAGCTGCAAGTCAAGCCTCATGTGACTTTCCTCGTTCTTCCGCCAAATCGGATTAAGTGCTTAGTAATAATCACATGACTTGTATCCATCTCTATCACGATTATTCCAAGAGAAGTATCTGTCAGTGTACAGTTGAGAGCTCTATGCGAAACGATTAGGGCTTTTCATTTATCTGTCGCTTATTCTCAATGGTCTCTATCTGTCGATTCTTGGACTACCGATGAGGAGGATGCCCGGAGGCCGCTCTATCACCTTACCTTTCCATTCTCAGGACTCATGCGCCCGGCTCTCCTTCGATTATTGAAGAGACCGTCCGCCGTTTCGGTTCTCGACTCTCTAATATCGAAATCCATCGGCATCGAGCAACTGGAATCTAAAAATAAATGTTTACGATGCAGTTTGCGGAAGGCGCACCAAAATGCGAGCGTTCGGCGTTGGGAGGTCGACGAACCCAGGAACGAAACTACTACGCATTTGAATCAATCATCGACCTCGCGCCCCTACAGCTTTCATGTGTATGACATACAGTCGCCTCGGAATACAAGACACGACTGTACAATGCGACAAGATAACGCTCCCACATCCTCAATGGCCGACAAAGACGCCTCTTTGCGCTTTGATCTACAGCCCGACAAGCTAGACTTCGAATCGGATATCGGCCACACCCAGGACATGGGTACTCGCCTTGTCGACGATCCAGTCTACCGAAAGAGGCTGGATCTCTGGGAGCAGCTGCTTCGCTATCGACAGCGACACTATGGAGACAGAGGAACACTGGATATCTGGATAGCTTTGACGGACCGAGTGGACGGTGTCGACCTGCCCGTAGTCGGGGAGCAAGCCGATTTCTTCTGGCATAGTTTTGTTGATTTGGGTCTCAAGCGGGAAGTTATTATGGGAGAGGTGTTGGCCTATGCAATGGAGCTTTGGAAGATGACTGGAAGCCGATGGGACAAATTTTACGAAGCCGTCGTTGGTGGATACCTCGAGCGAGGCATGACCCAGCATGCTATTCGATGGCATAAGAAACTTCAGCATCCCCATCTATCCTGTCCAAATGATATAATGAGGGTCTTTGAACCAGCTCTGACTATGATCAATGGATCGAACCAAATTGTCCTACCAGCGACGGCCACACGACGCTCTGTATCTCCTGGCATTAGCGCTTTCAAGAACATATGCCGACTTACGGACGGTCACCAGATATATGGCTGTGTCATTTCACAGCTGTTGAACTTGGGTCGTGTTGAGGATGCATTTTCACTGCATTCGTTTCTGGTTGAGAGACATGACCATCCGCAAACCTACGAGGAGATCCGGCCTCTGCTCGAATGTGCGAAGGAGCTCAGCCCGAGAAAATTTTACGAACTCCAGGCTTACAGCAAGGATCGCTTCCCCGACCGAGTGACATCGGCCAAGGAGAGTGCCCCTGCTAAAGAAGACGATACGCGGGAGTCCAGCGGAAGAGTTTGGCTTCAAGAAAAGCCTTTCAAGGATGAACTGGGCGCTCGGCTCTTCGCCACCAAAGCCCTTGCCTTCGAGACAACGGTCGCGGGATTACGAATGTTCGGTGTACAGGCTATTGGGCCGCAGTCGCTGCGAGAAATGGCAGTTAGAGCTCAAGGGAGCCAGGACATTGTAGCTCGGTTGCGAGAACTTCACAGAGCGGGCATCTCCATTGGCCATTCGGTTTTCGCACGACTAATCCGTAAATTGGCCTCGGAAAATCGCGACATACTTCTGTCGGACTTACTCCATAGCGATCAGCATCCCGATGTACTGGAAGATGCGGTGATGCAAGAGTCACTGTTAATATCTTACTATATCGCTCGCGACTGGCGTCCTTATAATATGACGCTTGCTATACTTACAGAAATATTTGACGACGGGTCTAAACTGAGCAATATCCACTTTCGCAAATTCATCGCCTCGGGAGAATGGGCTTCTGCGTCTAAAATGGTGGACGAAATGACACTAAACGGTCAGAAACTCGCCCAAGAAAGCGTGGACTTTATGGTCAAGCATACTCTTACTCCACGTCGACCAGGAGTTGGACCAGTCCAAGGAACAGATGTCTCATCCAGCAAAGAAGTTTCGTTTGTTTTCCGGGTTTTGCAGCGCGTTGTTCCAATGGGCACATCCGTGGCTCCTGACCTCTGGATTGAGATGCTGAAACGACTCGGGATGACGAATCACTGGGATGAGCTTCGCAGATGCTGCCTTTGGCTCGCTCGCCAATATTCCGCTGCCCCAAAACCGAGCGATGCAGTTTCTCTCATCATAAATTCTACGGACCAGCCAAGGCGCGAAGCTGACGGTGTAGCTCGGGATGATGGCGACCGAATGTTGCAAGCTGTCTTTAGCAAAAACATGCAGGCAGCTATTGTCGCGTGGGGTTTCAAAATGCGAGTGTCTCCAAATCCTGATCACGAAGGCTATAGTGCCTTAGGACTTGAGAAACTTGTGCCCTGGGTACGTGGTTTAGTGCTTCTACGCGAACTGGAGCACAACGGCATCCGTCTTTGGCACAGCTGGATTCGTCGGGCCTGCCGACATCGCTTGGCTGTTCTCTTCGGCCACTCAAGGCAATCTAGCCGACACATGAACCGCATGTTACGAAGGGAATGCCCCTATTCTCCAGAGCGTGTGATTACAGACATCGACCGTGTGTGGGGGAATCCACCCCTTTTCAACAGTCAGCAAGACGATTTGTCCCAGCTGGTCAATCCGCCAAGTTCGAACATGTCTCAACGCAGGACCGGACGAACGCTATGGAGAGAAGCTCGCCTCAAAGGAGCGGCATTCGTCAAAACCAAATGAGATGCTGTATATTATGGACAACTATGTACATACAACTTTATATCATTAGTCTTCCCCCAATACTGGAGCCCCGCCCACAGTCCATCTAGCAATCAGGAGTACTACCATGTCTGAAGGTCCAGATCACTGCGTAGACAACACGTGACTGGAACCCCAGGCAACGATGATAAAGATGCAAAACACTCTGAGCCACGGAAATGGCCAGTCAGCCCCCTTCATTTTGGAGTGTTATTCCGTTCTAAGAATAGTCCCAGAGGCAACGCGGCCCAGGCTTACTGAATAATTTCTGACTTTCTCTGTGGGACTGGGGCCCACCAGCGCAGTCAGCACTGTCAGATCGCCTCCAATCCTCTCTGACATTCAATTCCTAAGTGGATCTCTCAACGCAATCATTGTGATGCCGAACTGTCAGGCAAAGCCCGTTAGTGGATAGCGAGATTGAGTTGATACTTTTTCTAGACCGTGTGGATAACATCAAGTGCCTGGCGCAGCCTACAGTCAATAGTCAATAATAAACAGTTATTTCAGATCTTGGTTTTCACCACCATTCTTCATTGCATCAGCCCCCTTTCCAATTCCAACCTGAAACAAGTTTCCTCTGCATTTTTGTCCTGCAGAAGATATCTACATTCCGGGAATCTGCATACCCAAGATCTATTCCTTCCCCAGTACTTGCATAGTCGCATCTAGATAGCAGTGTCGTGTTCATCACAAGTTACAGCAAAGGCAACCAGCATGCTAGGACAATTAGGACTCGGTGTCCTAGCACTTCTCCCTTTGACATATGCAACGGCGCTGCTTCCTCGAGAAACAGCATGCAATAACTCTCCAAGTCTCTGCTCAAAGTCCTATGGGGAAATCACACATCTGGGGGCGCACGATAGTCCGTTCGTACGAGATGCATCGACCGGCTATTCGACCGCAGCGAACCAGTAAGTTGAATTCGCGATCTGTTTGGACGGCAGCAGCCAAGCGTTTGCTAATACTTGCTATAGATACTACAACACCACTGTACAGCTAGACGCTGGCGTTCGCATGGTAACGGCGCAAGTCCATTTGCAAGGCTCGGAGTGGCACCTGTGCCATTCGAGCTGTGAGCTGTTAGACGCGGGGAAGTTAAGCACATGGTTAAAAGAGATCAAGAGCTGGTTAGACTCGAATCCGAATGATGGTGTGTTCCTGTCTTTGGCTCGGCTATGCATGGCTAGCTGAATGTTGACATTTCTTTCTCTCCAGTCGTCACAGTTTTGCTGGTCAACTCTGATAGTGCCTCTGCCTCCGATCTGAATTCCGAATTCGAAACTGCAGGAATAGTCGACTACGCATACAAACCTTCCTCCTCCGCAGCACCAAGCTCTTGGCCTACCTTGCAGACTTTGATCAATAACGGGACTCGGCTGATGGTCTTCGTGGCGTCCTTGGACTCCAACACAGATGCCCCTTACCTTATGGATGAATTCTCGTTATTATTCGAAAATCCGTACGACGTGACGTCGCCTTCAAACTTCAGCTGCAATCCCGACCGGCCAGCCAGCGTGAAGAATGACCTCTCCGCTGCGATCTCGTCCAACCGCCTGCCCCTCATGAACCATTTCCTGTATGCCACGACCATCCTGAATATTGAGTATCCCAACTCCACGTACGTGACGACTACAAATGCGCCCTCTGGCGGAGTGGGGAATCTAGGGGACACCGCGGCGAAGTGCCAGAGCGCTTACGGCCGTCAGCCGGCCTTTATATTGGTGGATTTCTTTGACAAGGGCCCAGCCATCGATACCGTGGATAAGCTGAATAATGTCACCTCGCCTGTTGGGCGCACCAACCTCACAACGAGCTCCAGCTCGAGCACGACGCAAACAAGCTCTGCCTCAACCTATTCGAACGTCTTTAAGGGGTTGGTTGAGTTAGTACAGCAGGCGAAGTCGGGCTCGAATCCCAGTATGGGCGACTGGGTTTGGGTGGGGGGAGATTGGGGAAGTCTTCTCGGCGGCGGTATAACACTGTAGCCACAGCATCGTATTATGCCGCTCAGCCATTACCTCAATCTTGCGATATCCTTGAACC